GAGAGAGAGAGAGAGAGAGAGAGAGGAGTGGAAAGGCCGTGGATGGGACCGCGTTTTGTTATACGTGGTAAATTATTATTTTAATATCTATTTTTAATTTGTCACTCTCATTATTTTTTTGAATTGGATAAATTTGTCTATTGAAATTGTGTCAGTGAAGATGTTTGTAAGCAGGTCATTTGTGTTGATGAATTTTGGCTTCATTTTTTTTTATCAGTCAGCTCCTTGATGAAACGATTAGTACTTCTATGTGCTTTGATCGGTTGTGAACTACTGGATTTTTTGTCATTGCAATGACTGACATGTTGTCACAAAAAATTATTGTGGGAGAATTTTGCTTTTGCTGTAAGTTTGATAAAACTCTTTTGAGGCAAACAGCTTTACATGCTGTACTTGTTGCTAGGATGTATTCGGCTTCAGCTGAAAATAGAGCCACAGTATTTTGCTTTTTTGATGACCACGATATCACTTTTGTTCTTATGCATAATATATAGCTGGAAGTGCTTTTTCGATCACCAATAGAACATACCCAATTACTACCAGAAATCCAACATGATTAGTATTATTTTCAGAAATATATTTGGTACCGGGTCTCTTTGTTCCCTGAATATATCTTATTTGCTACTGCAAAATGTAGTTTACTTGGTTTATCTATGAACATTGAACAAATATTGATTGCGTGCACAATATTTGGTGTTGTGTTGTCAAATAAATTAAGGATCCAACCAAGCTTCTATAAATTGATGCATCTATTTTTTTTGCACCATCATATTTTGACAATTTTTCATTCATTGCCATTGGAGTACTCACTAGCATGCAATTTTACATTCTGAATTTCTTCAAGAAATCTTTAACATATTTTTCTTGAGAGATAAAAATTTCTCCATCTGCTTGTTTTACTTGGATTCCAAAAAAATATTTCATAATTCCCAAATCAAACGGTTCATATTCTTTCATCATGGCTTTCGTAGACTCTTCCATTATTTTTTGGTCTGTACCAATATAAATCAAATCATCCACATGAAGGCATACAATTAGAAAAGAATTTTCATTTCCCTTTTTCACATAAAGTAAAGGTTCACTTAGGCTCCTTTCAAATCTACTTTTTTGAAAATATTTATCAATTTTACTATTCCAAGCTCTTGGAGCTTGTTTTAGCCCATACAATGCCTTTTTCAGTTTATAAAATTTTTTATCCTTTTTTTTTTCAATAAAACCCAATGGTTGTTCAACATATACTTCTTCTTCAGTTCTCCATTCAAAAAAGTATATTTTACATCCTACTGAAAAACTGGAAATCTTAATTGGGCAGCTATGGCAAAAATAATTCGAATAGTTTCCATTCTGGTAACATGGGCAAAAGTTTCATTGAAATCTATTTCAGGTTGTTGTGAATAACCTTTTGCCACCAGAGGAGCTTTATGTTTTTGAATTGACTTATCTTCATTATATTTGGTTTTATAAATCCATTTGATACCAATTACTTCCTTTACTTTGGGGTGATCTACTAATTCCCATGTATTATTATTGTTATAACTGAAATTTCTTCATTCATGGCATTTACCTAAGTTTTCTGTTTGGCTGCTTCTTCGAAATTTTGTAGTTCACTAGAAAAGAAAGCAACATCACATGATTCATAAATATCTCAAAGAGGCCTTACTTTTTGGGGAGCGTCTCTGATTTTGAATCACTTGAACTTGGACTTCCTTGTCTTGGACTTTCTTGACTTGGACTTGAAGGGCTTGGATCTAACTTTTTATTTGAATCATCATTCTCTAAAAGTTTTGTTTCGTGTCAAGAATTTTCATTCCAATTCCATTCATTTTTGTCATCATGTTTTTTGATTGTAAAGACGATAAGCTTTTGAAACTTCACTGTATCCAACAAAGATATATTTTTCACTATTTTCATCAAAGTTTTCTTTATTTTCAGTGATAATTTTCCCATAAGCAATACATCCAAAAACTATGAAATAATTTACTTGGTTTTTTCTTATATCATGCCTCAAAAGGTGTTTTATTTTGGGGGGATTTTGTAAGAGACCTGTTCAAAATATAGACAACAGTAGAAATTGCTTCAGCCCACAATTTATTTGGAAAGTTATTGTCTTTCAACATACTTCGAACCATCTCAACTATTGTTTAGCTTCTTCTCTCTGCTACTCCATTTTGTTCAGAAATAAAAGTTCTAGCACTTCAAACGTGAAACTTTTACCAAATTGGAAAGATTTATTTTTGAAAGAAATATTTCAGCCAAACAAACATGCCGTAATAGATAATTCACATATCACAATAGAAGCCCTCTTGAAAAAACGTACTCCCCAATGTTAACCTCCCAAAACCAAAACCTGATATTTCCTTCCTATTAAAAAATAACATCATCTTCCATGTTCCTTATCCAAGTATAGGAACGGACCTCACCCACAAAAGATAACAATTTATTTATACCCAAAAAAAGACTTAACTTCCTAAAAAATACAGACTTGTTAACTAATGCAAAAAAACCCATACTAATTTTGTTTCTTAAAATTAACTTTAATAAAATAAATAAAAAATCTACCTATATCTCTAGAAATAAAACTATAGCAATCAAATCACATCTTGATCTGTATAAGAGAGAGCGTGGGAGATTTCGGTAGAAGAGAAACAGTGCCATTGAGGAAATTTAGTTGTGTCGCAAAGTGAGCAGGCAGTCCTTTACTATGCTGGCATCCACAAGACGTTGTGTGTCATCAACCGTGTCGATAGAGGTCGTCCATAAAACACACATACCAGGCAATTTTGGTTCATTTGCTCGAAGGCCGTGTAATTCAAGAGCTCTGATTCCTGGACCATGAGGAAAGAAATTAAAACGCCATGATCTGGAACTCTTTGGCCAAGCGGAAAGAAATTACAGGTCCCAGTTTCATACTTTTTCTTTTCATCGCAAATTAAATAACAGGAACGTTTTGGTATCTTATAGATGGATTTTGGATTCGAAAATAATTTGGGGGCCGAGAATCTCAACTATCATCAAAAAAATGAAAATACACTTTGAGAAGGTATCGAAATTCCTCCTTTTCATTGACACATCTATTCTCTCTAGATGTTTTCGACGTAGAGACTCTAAAGGCATCAAATAACTCAACATGCAGATACCCATTAACACTCTTTCACACACAAACAAACACATAACGAGACATGTAGATGAAACCCACAGCAAGGGCTTTACATCTGAACAACAACAGGAGGATCATCAAGAGTGGGGTATGGCGAAGTACTGGAGTAGCGAAACTATTGTTGAAAGGGTTGTGAGTGCGGTGATGAGGAGTCCTACAATAAACGCCATAACCGTCCATGGGTTCCTGAAATAGGTGTGCACAAAGTAAGCTCGCCACTTGTTCCATCGTTGGTCGCAATGCCTTTTCAACTGAATCCTCACACCGTGAAGAAAATCATTGAAGACCTCTGCCAATTTCTCCTGACTCCCTAAGTAGTTCTCTATTATACCTGCCTTCTCAAGTAACTCTACGTCCTTGATTGTGTCCATCAGTTCCTCCATAAAGGCCACATATATGAGCAGACCATTGTTTCAGTGCCTACTTGCAGCTGCTCAAACGCCATACAGTTCAAAAGCTCCGATCCCTACACCAGGCAGGTACAAATTACATAACCCCAAATGTCATTTCTCTTATTCGGTAAAGCATTCATTTATGTAAATTAAACCAGTGATGTGCATGTGTATTGAATATTAATTATTAAATAAAATAGAACTTTCTAAAAAGCGTAAAGTTTGTTTATAAAAAGGGTTTACAAAAGAGAGAGAATTTGATAGATCCATTTTCAGATATGAGCTTCTATTAGATAATAAATAATTTTTTGTGTTCTCAATTATATTGCGTTCTTACCTAGTACTAAGTAAACTAGTAAATATAATATATAAAAGTATATAATAAGACTATTTACCTTTGGTACAAGGTGGTCACAATTAATCTTTGACCAATGAATGTGAAATTCAGTGGATGCATTCATTAAATTGACAAAGCTAAAAGTTCAAAACGGAATTTTCTCAAAGTTTGTGACATACCCAAGTTATCAAATTTCACATTGGATGGTTATAAGTAATTATGAACTTCTTGTACCAAAGGTAAACGGTGTCATTGTATACAATCCCATATAATATTTAGTCATGAGTAAATATTATTTTGAAATATTATAAAAAATAAAATTGCAAAAGCATATCACATAAACTTGAAAAATATAATTGCAGTTCCATTTGCATTTTGAGCTAATTATTTTTCTAAAATAATTTGAATGGATGAAAGTAAAAGAAGAAAATTAGAGTGGGAAGATAATAACCCATTGAACTCTCCCAGAGCTCAAATTTGAACTTACCGTGTGGTCGTCGACGAATAGAGCCGGCATGCGCAGTACCCCATGACTGAAACTCACGTCCTTGAAGGCTCGTGTTCTGCGCGTTTTTAAGTTCACCCCGGCCTCGTCAAGATTCGTGGCCGTGAGCCGCTTGATAAAAAACTGCGTCTCCCTCTCATTCTCCTTACTCTGCTCCTCCGGAACCAGAGGCACCCCACACAATCTCTTTATCCATTCCCACATTCTCTTGAAAAACCTCGGCTTCTCCTTGAGCCCCTCGGGCCCTTTTATGCCTTCCCACTTGGTCTGCCTCTCCTTGTCCAACCAATGCAGCGCACCCATCTCCTTGAACCCTTCCAACATGATCTTTCCCTGCGCCTCGTCCATGTGATACAGCCTCTCCAACCCCTTTATCGCGTCGTATAAGCCTCTCGGCGACTGTTCGAGCAGAGTCTCTAGTACCAGTTGCGGTATCTGGTTCTCGAGCAGCAGCATGTCATTGAATACTTGGTACATATACTCTGCCTTTTTCTTGCCAAATATAGGGTCATTCTCCTCATCCTCTCTGAGAAACTCTAATAGGAAGCAGCCATCCAAGAGCATTATCTCCAAGAACTTGGCCTGATCCAGGCAGGCAAAGTCGGGAGGCCAGTCATAACAAGCCCAGAGCTTGTGCTCCACCTTTCGAAGGGCATTTTCAAAGTACTCGCGAGGTTTCTGCCTGCGATCGAGGAAGCGGTGGAGGGCCCTGGCCTTGTGAATTTCCATGCCACGGTAACGGGAATTACCGTGGTGGAAGGGGCCGAAGGAAATGAGCAAGGGAGTGAAGGCTCCCTTAGTGAGTTTCCCAGTTCGTCTTGTCTTGGGCCACATTGCTTATTTCTAATGTCCATTGCTCCTGTCCTGGCTTGTTCAATTCCTCAGTCATTTGGTACTGGGTCTTTCAGACCACGCTACCTGTCTTTGGCTTTTTAACTGCGAGGGAGGACGATCAACAGAGAGAGAGAAATGGCGATGCAGAGACTTAGGATGAAGGGGTTTATGTAGGGGAAATGAACTTGCTCCTAGCTTGGATTTTCTTCTCCCCCTTATGCTCTCTTTTGAAAAGTCTCTCGTACTGTTGCTTTTTGATCTTTCATTTTAACATTTGGGCCTAGTTTTTATGCTTTTCCTATTCCATAAAACTTATATACTTCCCCATATCCAACCCTCTATTTTAATGGACGACTGAGATGACCCCAATCACAATGCCACCTCTCCCTATTTTATTTTTAATGTTCTTACAAAAGATTTTGATACCAAATTTTGAGGATCTACTCCTCTCTTAAACTCGAATCGGTAAAACAAATAATCTCAATAAAATAAAATAACCAAAATACCTTTGAATGTTTGAAGAAGTATTTTGGTCATTATATTTTATCGAAAATTGTATTTAATATTTTTTTTAGGTGTGTCCCATTGAGAATATGACACTACCAAATTTTAGTTTCATACAATTTATAGAAACAAACTTAAAAATAAAATACTCTGAAGCATCGAATCTAGATGAAACAATGAGTGGCTCACCTTATCTAAATTAGACAGCTAGATGGGAAAAGTATATATCTTCACTTTCAATGTTCTAGGGGAAGTTTAGAACACTGATTATATATATATCAGTTGACAATTTATTGGGTTCACATTTCTGACACTAGTATCTATATCAACACTAGTATCTATATCATACACATGTCTCCGTATGCAAGAGTAAAATTCTCTAATTTGGCAACAAATGAGATGCATCACCAAACACAGTATTAAATGACAAGGTTAAATGGATTAAAGAAAGTAGGTTTTGACCAAGGGTAATATGAACATTTTGCGGGGTAGGAAATTTATTATTGGAGCATCCAAGCCCAATAACACTGAATTTGTAATCTTGCATGGCCAAGAAAATCAATTTCTTTATATTTATCTAAAATCTTAATATTACAACAGTTGGTGTGGTCACAACTCAAGAGGTCTGGTCCACTTGGTTTCTTTAGACTCCATGATTTTTTTCGAATAAGTATTTGTATTGCCCTGCATTCCTTGCACAACAATGTGGATGCCTAATCTTCTTAACAAACCAAAATAAAGAAAAGGGAGTGTCCCATGTAACTCTGATTGGGGTGAAGGCATCAATCGATGTATCCTGTACAACTTTTCTAGAAGAAAGAGATTTCATGTGGCAATGTTCCTTCCTCTCTTTGGTATAAAGGGCAACTAACTATAGTCCATCAGCAAAACATCAATGAAAGGCCTAATGTCTTTTCCTTTATGTTTTCTTTTTCTTCTTCTCTTTTTTTTCTTTTCTTTTCTTTTTTTTTTTCCTTTATTTTTTATTTTTTATTTTTTGAGGGAGGGGTTGATAATATTTTTGTTAGTAGCAAAAAGAGGTTACAAACTTACAGGCTCCATAAAGCCCGCATGTAGTCTCATATTGGGGAGAAACTTTAATTGAAAAATTTGAAATAGAGACCATCATATTTTTACCCTAAATAGAAATAGTGACTGCCACCGAGTAAATATTAGAGCAAGTTCACGATGAAGTAGATAATTAGGTGATGCATAAAATTTGATGACATAGAGAGTAATAAAATTTCGATGAAACATATTGACAGTGTCAATAAGATAGCATGAGAAATACATCATCGATTTATCATTAGGAATGAGAAAATATCTTATTATATCTTATTTTTAACTACTCAAGAATTGAAAATATTACTTGTAAACAAAAGGACTCAATCTTTTCTATCTTCCAACCCCTTAAACCCTTTTAACCCCTTAAACCCTTTTAACCATGAATTATTGACCTCAACAACTTATGAAATGACTCTCTCTCTCTCTTTAAAACTCCATCTCTCTCTCATATCACCATCTCTCTCTCTCAAAACTCCATCTCTCTTTCTCACATCATCGTCTCTATCTCAAAACTCTATCTCTCTCCCTAAAACTCAAACTCCATCTCTTTCTCTCAAAAACTCTCTCTCTCTCTAAAACCCAAACTCTATTTTTCTCTACCTAAAACTCATCTCTCTCTCACACATAAG